CTCTCTGTGTGTAGGCAACACTCGGTAGTCAGTTCTAAAACAGGCTGTTAAACCATTCTGTACTTCTTTGATTTTAAAACAAGACCTCCAGTTTGAGACTTAAGCTTACGACTATGATTTGTACCACTGTTTTGCATTTCTGGTTTCCAGAGGGTTTAGAAATTGATAATAAGATTTACTTAAGTCCTCATCTTTCAGCAGTTTTTCTCAGGCTTTTTTTTTAGGTTGGAGGGGGGCAGCAATCTTAGCTTTTTTTTTTTTCTCTAAAGTTTTTAATTTCATATAGATTCTAAGGTTTTTTATTTGTAACTTGTATTTAAAAAAACGGAAAGCTTTCATTTGTTATTCTCTCTCTTAGCATTATGAAGAAAAAATCTTGTAATAGTATTGTTCTTCGTTACTCTTACTGAAGTTGTGTCATTAAAGAAGAACAATATGTGAAACTAAGTGATTTTTTTGCATCTGTTTTAGGGATTTGATCATTGGAAAAATAAGGAAAGGAAACCACTTATATTTTACTAGACAAGAGAACTTAAAAGATTGGTAGTGGTGAGATAACTCTTTCAGAATTCAAATTCTCCTCTTTAAGAACACCATCATCATACTGCACTTAGAATAGCGTCCAGTGATGAGATACAAATAATCTTTAAGTTAAATTATAGAACACTCATTTTTGTATCAAAACATTTTCATTGCATTTCTTTAGTAGATTTGTTGTTCGTGAAAATACTGACTATCTTTGATGGAATAATTATACCTCAATTTAGTTGTTTGTGAAAATAATTAATTTCAGTAATCGATATAGAATATCTCAGTTTATCATATTAATTATAACTTGTAATTGTTTGCCAAGTTTCTTACCCATGTCTTAAATCTAGAATTGCAACCTTCAGTGACTCACCAGCAAATAAGGCTAAAAATCGGGTTCTAATACTTGCAGTGGGCACAGCATATATATAGCCCATAGTGTGTAGCTTTGAGCTTAATATCAAATAAAATTGTAACTTCATTTCTTATAAGTTCAACACTTTTTTTAAGAACATTGTGAACTGAAAGAAAAAAATGGTCATAAATACTATACATGCTTGTAGTGCTTGATATTTAGTTAAAGAGCAGCCTCCAGTTCTTCGAAAAACAGTTTCAGTCAGTACTTATTTAGTTGGAAGGCGAATGTTTTATTGTAGTTTTAAAGAACGTCTTTAAAATGTTTTATTACGGAGCCTCATATTTTTCCCGTACTTTCAGCTCTGCTTCCGTTATGTTTTAAAAACATTTTTAAGGGAACCATGAGAAATGAAAAAATGATGACTTTTTTTTGAAGTTTATATACGTGTGTTTTAGTTTACATTTAAATAAGACAACACTTTTAAGACTTCAACTTTTCCTGTGTTATTTAGTGACATTTTGTTCTGCATTTGTCTTATCTTTCATAACATGGATATTTTATCTTTGTATATGTACAGAAAATCTTTTGATATACAGTTCAATAACCAATGAGAATGAAGACTTGTCCCATGTGTGGCTCAAAACAGGAAACTTTGATAAATATTTTAAGACTCCAATATCTGAAACCACTGCAATAATTTTTTTTATATTTTACCTTTTGGCTTTTTTTCTTCAATTTTATGCTTATTGTATTTTATCAGTAGTCATATTGATTGGTTTCAAAGTGAGCTGTAATCATTATTAAACTAAATATACAATATACCATGGTTAAGCTGATTACTAAAGTAAAAAAAAAATCAAAGTAAAACTTAAAAGTATGCAGAAGTGAAGTACTTGTCTTAACTAGAAATCATGGAATAATGATTAAAAAATCATACTTCTGTCTTTCAAAGTGAGTTTCCACCTTTGGATTTTTTGTCAGTGGATGCCATTATTGGTGATTTAAGTACTATGTCAAAATTCAAGGCAATTCTAAAAGTTAAGTTGCCCAAATGATCAAATACAGTTAGGCTTAACACCACACTTTATTTCTTTGTTAGTGAAGAACATTTAAAGATAATTAATAAGGTTATACACTACGTGATCATGTACAGTTAGGCTTAACACACAACTTTAATTGTTTGTGAATGAAGAATATTTAAAGATAGTTATGAAGGTTATGTACCACATGATCACGTGCATTTAGGCTTAACACTAAACTTTGTTTCTACGTGCATGAAGACTATTTTTAAGATAGTTATGAAAGTTATACACCACATGATCATGTACATTTAGGCTTAACATAAACGTTATTTCTGTGTGAGTGAAGAATATTTTAAGATAATTATGATGTTCCATGGAAGTAAAAACATTTACACGTCAAAGGTTCGTAGAACTGTCTTTGCAAAATAAATAAGTTTATTTAAACTAATGCTGTAAATTACTAAATGGATTTGAGAGCCACACTTTATCTATTAAGCTGGATCTTTTTTTAATTTTATTTTTCAGCTTAATAAGAAGCGTATGTTCAGAGAAATAGGTTTTGTAAAAGTGGTAACATATGAGTATAATTTAACCATTATTTAAACTAGCCTCACTGGAGGCAATTAAAATGTATGTTTCTTTATTATTTTAGTAAGTATTGGTAGATTAGGATGTTTTAGTCCTAATATTAGGTTTGTCTAATAGTGTTCACATTATTCTGTAATGAAATGAACTGAAAACATAGATATAATGAAACTGTCTTAAATAAGGTTATGGTAATGTTAATAACAAGTTTAATACAGCCTTTATTTTCTATCTACCAGTCATTGAGCTTTGATCTTAATCAAGGACCCCCCAGCCTGGCATTAGAAGGTGAAGGCCAAGAGTCGTACTTTCTTTAACTAGGGAGCAGAGATACATAACTCAAGTTGATATGGACAAAGACATGTTATCACGAATATTTAACTAAGCTGTTTTAAACAGAAAGTGTGACATCTTCTTTCGAGGATGCATTAAAATCTTTCAAACTATCTATCTTCATAACTTTTTCATTTGTGTTATGTCCCAAATATTTTTTAAGTTTAGTATTGAAACTCTCGCAATGATATTCACCAGACTGTGGCCCGTAAGAAACTGTTTTGTGTGTGTGTCATAGAATATTCATACCATGTCATTTAATGAAATCGGTATCAGAAGGACCGTAATACCTCAAAGTTTTCACTTCTGTAACCAACTATCCTGTCATTTTTTGGTAAAGATAACTTTTTTAAATGAATCTTTTAATGGTGATATCACCATTGTATATGTTATATAAAAACAATTTAGTATATTACACAGAAAGAATGTAAATATAATTTGAATTGTGGTACCTTTTCTGAACTTGGATGATTTAACTGAATTTGTAATTAATACTGAGAAATTGGTTGTTGTTTTATTTGTTTCCTGTGAAACCATATCTAGTGCGAGTAAGATGCAATACTATCTGATATAATGCAAGGACAAAAGATTGCTATATACAGGTGATGGAGTAATATCTGTAGTGGTAATTCCAAACAAATACAACGTTGAGAATTTACTAATGAAGCATTTCAGATATTTAGCACAAATAAGTGCATGTCACTTAAATCGTATAATTTATGTAAACCCATCCTTTTCATATTCAAAGTACATTTACTTATGCAGGGGTTTTTGTATTGTTGGCATGTTAGAGAACATGACTTCATCTGAAATATTATTCTTAAATTATTTTAGCTGTTTGTTGACAAACAAATTAGATAAAACTCAAACAGTAGCTGTTTACCTCAAGTTGTGCATTGTTTGTTGTGGGTCAAGTATTTCTAAAATTTAAGTATATTTTTGTGTGTTTCAAGAGAGATTGTAGTGAAACACAGTTTGGTGGTTTTGTTACCTTGTAATCATACTTCATTTCTGTGATGAAACTACGATCTCGTGCATGTACCACTAGTTTCAAAATCTGAACAAAAGCAGAATTTGTCTGACCACAGATGTTATTAGCATGCTTGTTCTGGTGTTAGTGTTATACCAAACTGAAAGATTATTCTCGTATCACTGATGTCTTAGCTGTCATCAAGACTACACCGAACATTAGCCTCATGTTACGAAAGAGTCAGGGATACAGTGATACTTACTTCTGTGTGGCCACTTCCATCACAAGTGTTCTCTGTTGTTTTGAAGCTTTGGCTGTCTTCAGTTTGTTAGGGCAGTGAATAAAGACTGTTCGTTTCAAAGTATCCGATTGGAACCAGTAGAAAGAATTTTGTTCAACTAACCCTAAAAGTTTCTGTATATGTTGTGTAAGCATTGTTTTAATTCTACTATTATATTCTCATCTGATGGATTATACAAATCAATATCTTTATTATTACAATGTTCTAAAACTTTTTAGTATCTTTTTTCACGAAGGTAGAGTTGCTCAAGTTATTAATTTTGTTATTCTGTTTAAAACTTTTTTTCACATTTAAAATTTGATAGCACTTGTAAATATATCTAATAGCAGTTTTTTTAGCCTAGCATAAAAGAAGATAACATTTTACTTCTCTTGTACAAGGTAACATGCTTTACAGATTTCACTGTCCTACCTTATATTATATAGAGTAAGAATTCAGTGCCATGTCAAGCTTCAGTAATGTGCCATCCTGTGCTCCTGTTTCAATGTACAGTTTCTTATTATTTTCCTGTCTGTGCAATAGAATAAATTAGGTCCTAGAATTTACTTCTGTGTTTAAGCAACATAGAGACAAATCTTAAAGTACTTTACACCTCATCTGGAAGATGCGTCTTCGGTGGATGGCGTAGCTGGTTAAGCTACGTAGAAAGGGCCATCTGTACATTGTTTGTATAGTATCTGTACTTATTCTTGTGACACTGCATCAAATGTGATTAATTTAAAACAATTTTAATATCATTTGCATCAAGAGTATGGAAATAAAAACTAGCATTTTTTTTTCTTTAACACTATTTGTGTGAAGTGTATTTATTTACTTACAGCAGACCATCAGATATTTCAATACCCGTGCAGTGCACTGGTTAACTTTCTACAACACTTTACTACTACTTTTCAGTATGGAAGGTAAGCATGACTCGAGTTATTGTTCTGTGTATTTGTAATTTCTATAAGCATCCAAGTGTCCAACACCTGTAGCTATTGTCAATTTTTGTCTGGATGTTCTTGCAATGATATAATAATCTTCATTTTTACTCCAATGCTCCTTTTTTTTTTGCACAAAAACCTTAATGTTCTGACAGTGCATCATGAAAAAAATATCTTGTCTATGAGGGTGGAATTTCTAAATCAACTTGTTAACCTTGTAAACACTTCAACAGTGCTAAACTACTATGGTGTTTTGACTGGTATTTTTTTTCAACTTCTCAGTGCATAGATAAATGTGAGGTAGAATGTTACTATAAAAAGCTCTGTATGTTTAATATCAATCATTTTTACTAAAGTAATTACATTTCCACTCTCTAGGGAGCAGCACCAAAACCTCCGTCTTACAACAATTAAGTGACCAATTTACTTTCTCTAAAGCAAATTATGAAAAAATAAATTATCCACATTAAAATATATTTCAAACCCAAGATATGTAGCTTTAATTATTCTAAAGTTGTGTTTAAATGTTTCGTGACTGAGAATACAAAACCAACCAGAAACATCAAGTAAACTAGGCTCTTTGTTAATCACCATTTTCTCCATATTATACACAGCTGTCGTGTTGATATAACCAGTAATTTGTCCTCCTGTTCTTTTAAACAACTTTGTTCTGTTGTATTTTTCTACTATCAATGTGTAGCTTGTTTCTCCTCCTAAACCTTAGTAAAACATGGTAATTAACAAGTTAGAGAAGTCTTAGATTAAACTAATGACACTTATAAAACGTTTTATTTCAAAAATAAGTTTGAATATATTTTTTTTATTTTGCCCGTAACAAATAATTTCATTATTTATCCACCTTCTATAATGACAGACATCTCTAAAACATACAGTTGAATTTTGTTCTGTTACATTTTCTCAAACACGATGTAAAAATATTAATATTATGTTCCCTCGTGTAGCTTCCAAAAGTACTTTTTTTTTTCTGGAATATTTTTAAAAAATAGTCCTTTATTAATTGCAAACAAAGAATGTAAAATCTTACCCACCAAAAAGAGTGAAA